AAAAAAAAACAAACAAACAAACAGACAAACTTTTGTCATATTCCATTTAATTTCTGCAGCAATACTCTGTCTTTGATGGTAATTGTTGAAGTTAACCCTGTAAGTCCCACTAGTGACCTAAACAGAATTTCTCCTTACTCTTTCAGTACAGTATCAAGCAGACAAGTAATGAGAATAAAGAAAAATATCAATTAGGCAATTATTGGTTGATCCAATTCCAAATTCTCCAAACTAACATCATATGAATTGTATAGCAGACAATAAGGAGAATTACTAACGAGATCTTGGGAGTGAAAGGGTTAAGTTATGTGAGGAGAAGCCTTATATCTACTCAGGATTATTTTCTACCAGAGTGCAAGAAAAGCTTTCAAGAAGACTCAAACTTTGAAATGACCTGTAAGGGAATCCTCTGGGCTCTGTAGAAGCTGCTCTCTTGTACATGAGTACTGACATGTCTGTCTTTTCTTAGACTAAAGTGACTTACTTTCTCTGTTTCTAATTGCACAACCTGCTGTCTATAGGTTTGCGGGCTGAAGTGGTCCCCAGATCATCAGCATTTAGCATCGGGAGGAAATGACAACAAGCTCTTGGTTTGGAGCATGTCCAGTCTGTCACCTGAGCAACAGTACAGTGAACACTCAGCGGCAGTCAAAGCCATTGCGTGGTCTCCACATCAGGTGTGTACAGTATTCAGTGGTGTACTATACAATTTGATGGTACCGAAATCTCTACAAGAGTCATACATTTTGGACAGTAGTGTCCAATTTTGGTCTGTTACTAGGCACCAGTATCCAATATTTGGCACTAATATCCGATTTTGGACTCTAGTGTCTGATATTGAACACTAGAGTCCAATTTTAGACACTAATATCTGATTTTAGACGCTAGAAGAATCCTGACTCGAAGTGCCTGACTTTATATTGTAGCACGGTTTGTTGTCCTCTGGAGGTGGTACAGCTGACAGGTGCATAAGGTTTTGGAATACATTAACAGGACAGCCGCTACAGTGTGTTGACACTGGCTCGCAGGTATGTAGAATCGTCCCTTAAAACTGCGGATCGAAATCCTCGAAAATTTCTCGGAACTTCTCGAAAGTTAAGCTTCGAAACTCGATTCTCGTTTCACGATAGTTTCGAGTCGAAACTGTCATCTTACAGCTACTGCTCTGTGGGGTGTTGGGGGGGGGACGTAAATGGGTCCCCCCCCCCCACCTTTTACAGCCTGGAACAGGGTGTGAGCTTCACCTCACAATAACAAATTATTCCATGATCTGTACACCTTACATTCAGCGCAACTTTTTAACTTTGTTTTCTGCCTTGTTTTAGGTGTGCAACTTAGCGTGGTCCAAGCATTCAAATGAACTAGTGAGTGTTTTCTTATCTTTAAAGCCATAATTTCGCACACTAGGCCGGTATTTATTGTATTTATTCAGTGCGCCCGTTTCAGCGGAAATTCTCATCACTGATTGTTGTTTTGTAGGTCAGTACACATGGTTACTCACAAAATCAGATCTTGGTCTGGAAATACCCATCATTAACTCAAGTAGCTAAGCTAACGGGTCACTCCTACAGGGTTCTTTACTTGGTAAGCACATAATGTCATGTGTTCATTTCCTCTTCTTTGTGTGACATAGAAAGCTACGAGGAAAGCTAGTCACGTTATACGGCTTCTTTGGATGGCAATGAAAGTTGCGAGATCAAGCTTTAGCACGCGTTGTCCTTAGTCATGAAGTACTTCTCCGTTGCGTGGTAATCAGTTGAGAGAATGTCTTTATTACGCTATATCTTAAGTCACGCAATACAAAGCCATTTACTCACTGACGAGAGTTAACACGTTAATCTTAGGCCGTATCACCGGATGGTGAGGCTATCGTGACAGGAGCAGGAGATGAAACTCTTCGATTTTGGAACGTCTTCAATAAAGCCCGCTCGCATAAGGTATGGCTAATTTTCATTTTGTCTTTGGTCGAGTGATTTATACCTTGGTATGCTTTATAATTTGTTAAGATCTCGTCATCCGTGCGTCCACGCGTTTCTTCAGATCAAGCATGTTGAAGGGAGTAACTTGTCTATAGAAGTAATTCTGATGTGTTCGCTTAGGGGACCTCTCACCGACGTCTGTTTAACCACAGGTGGCCCAAGCTCCAGCTGTGAGATGATCATCCAAGAGCATTTATTCCTAAATATTCCCATAAAAACTTTTAGTATTTCGCAAGATGATCATCTCACAGCTGGAGCTTGGGCCGCCTGTAGTTTAACTTGACAGCAGACTCTCGTGTTTGGGTTTTATCTTGTATCCCCCTCTCTGTGCATATCTCTCTTTCCCCCCCCCCCCCTCCCTGTGGGGAACTGTTGAACTGTCAGCTACGTCTTACAAAATTAGGAAGGGGTGGGTGGGGGTGGGGCTGACTTGTAATAAGTTTAGCGGAGTACAGACATAATCCTATTTGGTTCATGACAGCGAAACCGGGAGAGGCTCCAGAAGACAAATATAAAAAAAAACCGCGCCCTGCAGTCTGGACAAAATCTGTTTTCTTATTTGTCTTCAGCTAATAGTTTTGTTTTTGGGTACAGCAAGATTTTCCTTTCTTACATGGCAGTTAGTAATTATTAAGTCAATTTCAATTGTTTTCTTCAGGAATCCAAGTCAGAGCTCAATCTGTTCTCCAGAATAAGATGATGTTTACCCTAAGAGTTGGATCTTTAATGTAACAGTTATTGCGTTTGTACCAGGATACAATAATATGATTATCACTTAAGCACGAGTACTCCGTATTTTTGTGGAGGTAGTTGTCTTCGTTCAAGACGAAGCTTTCTCTTTAAGCGTTACCTCCAACTTTTTCTCTCTTTTTTGTAAATTTTTCGCCGATAAACTGTGTCTATCAAAATGTATGTAAATCAGTTGTCCGATGTTGTAAACTTGGGCTAAAATGCGATGGATTGCATTTTGGACTGTATTAGGGGTATTTCATTTTATTGAAAATATATATCTATACTTGACAAAAGCTGACAACAATTCGTTTGAAACCTGTAAATCAGCCACGTAAATTGGCGACACGATTATAGCTGGTTGCTGACAACTACTGCTGACGTTTGATGTATTTTGCTCTCGAAAGCTAACCACAACTTTCTCTCGTCACGCAATGTTTTGTCTTTTGTTGAGGAGAATTTTGCGATGACCCAGTCACGCCGGCAAGTCCAGGAGTACCTTGTGAGACGAAGAATGATTAGGTGAAATAATTTTAGAAAAACATTTTTTTTAAGGACATTTTACAGAAAGGGTGTAAAAAAGAGTTAGATTGCGTGGTTAGATGATGTGGAAATCTGCAATGATATATGACCAGAAATGGTGAAAAGGAATAAACGAGAATTTTTCAACTTAGATAAAACGTTAAGCTCCAATTACCTAAACACAACAATGTACCATTGCTTTTTCCTACTTGATTCCCAGGCCCTATGTTCAATTAGCCCTCCTTGGATCGAGAGAGACTTGGGAACGAGGCTCAACCGCGTTGATAAACGCTTACTCTTTACACCAAAGCTTCGCGAACCGAGGGACCGGTCCTTATTTATTTGTGGGGGAGGGGACTGGAGGATTTTGGTTGCGTCCTGATAAAATTTATCTGATCCCCATATAAGGCTCTGTCATATTCTTATGATTCCGCTCTCAATGGCAGTCAATTTTTACATTCTCCCCTTTATATTTACTTAAAAATATATAATTCTAACTACAATAAGTTGACAACGAATTTTGCCGTTTCGTTCTTCCTGTAAAGCATGTGATCCCTTAAAAAAATCCCCCACCCCCTCCGAGTCAAAAATAATGACCGGCCCCTTCGGGTAACAGTGAAGTTTTTTGTTTCTGATCGACCGTTGTGATAACCCTGGTTGTAGTTTTAAAACACTCAATCCAAATGCCCCTACACTTCTCAGTCTTATTTTGACGCCGAATTTGACGGCCGTCAATGTACATACGGTCGATATCGGTAAACCACAAATGAAAGCACCTAGGGTGATGTAACTGATTAAAGAAATCCTACTTCCGGCCTCTTTTAAGAAAACTGATCGGTCGGGAAGATTATTTGCGTCTAAAGGCTAATGATCTGAAACCGAAAACAATCGGATAATGTTCTTTTGCGGTAACTTAAATTTCAGCCTGGATTTCTTTCATTTTCAAATGAATATGGCTGCGGCAAGAAGGCATGTTGATGAAGGAGATTTGAACTTTGTTTTTAAGCGCCTTGGGGAGCGAGGAAATGAAGCTGAGTTAGTCAAAAAGAGAAATGATCACGTCACTGGGCCAACCTTGGAGCGACTAACGGAATTCTTCATGGAATGTACCGAGAATCAAGTCATAGCCCGACCCTATGGGAGTGTAGCTGAAGATTTGATGTGTCTCTCACCCGATGATTATGGGAATACGGACATCATGGTGTTCCCAAGCTCTGAGGCCTTTTTGATTCACGAAGAAGTGGTCGATCATTCACTGGAAAGTCCACTGCATGTGAGAATCAGAGCCGGCGATCATCCCGTATTGCAGTCGTGCCTTGTAGAAGGTACAGAATACCTGGCCACTTTAGCACTAAAGAACTTCCATCCTGCAATTTATGGGAGCAAAGCGTGTGAATTAATGCATCATTTTACATGTTGCTTGCGAATATTCTCCAAGGATGATCTCAAACACTCTCTTCAAATTGTTGCGAATTGGAAGAACGAGAAAACCAGCCCAGCTTTTACCACTGATTGTATGGAATCGTCTGATACTCTCCACCGACAATTGCAAAACATGACGGAGTCAAAGCGGCTGCATAGTTTGAACAGCGCTGAGTGGGAATGGTTCCTCGGTGCGATATGCAGGGCAAGGGGAGTCGAATATACGAGAGAGCACGCCGCAGCTATGGACGACTTTCTACAGTATATGAGTGAGTTACAGGAGTCCCTGACCAAACGTGGCCCTGATGATATTTTCGAAGGCTTTCCAGCTTACCTACATGAAATGATGTCGAGCGATGTAGTTCAAAACTTCAAAGCCCGAGTGAAAGCTATTGAAAGCCGATCACCAAACGAAAACGTAAGTCAGGCGGAAGTGATATATTCTGATGTTTCAAGCGTCACGCCACGTAAGGCAGTTGAAGGCGGAAGTAAAACAGAAACTGACGATTATGGAAATAATGTCATGCTATCAAACAACAACCATCCTCAGACGCTTCAAATTCAAGACTTAGAGTCCACTTCCTCCCATGCCATGGAGTACGCAAGATGTCCAAACGACCTTCAGCCTGAAAAACCAACTAAGGGAGAAGATCCGACTAACCTGACAAGACACATGGCAAAAAAAGATAGCGAGCAGGTTCGAGATGAAACCCAAATGAAACAGGAGACCACAATTGAAAATGAAAAAGACGACCAGACAGGGGAAAGCGAAGAAAGATTCGATTTCAAGCCACTTTTGTACCATTTATTCGAGAAAGAAGCAGAAGTCAAAGAGCCGTCTGAAAATGACACAGCCTATTTAAAAAAAAAGACAGGAATTGATCTTGTGCCCGCCCTGAAATCCCGAGGATGGCCGAAGTCTGCACGAGATTGGCTCGAAAGAGAGCGGAAATGGCCTTCCGTCGAAATGGTGACTAAGATCATTGACGAAGGCTACCACCTGGTTGTCAAATCTCCAAAGTACAGTGAAATTCCCGAGTGCGACTTCAGAATCTCATTTTCTCATGCAGAGTACCTGTTAAGCCAAGAGATGAATGAAATCCAACGCGAGTGTTACCGTTGTTTGAAGAAATTACACCGTGCTTATCTTTCCAGTCCAGCAGGTTTGGTGTCATTCCATCTCAAGAACCTCTTTTTGCAAACAATAGAGGAGACTGGTGCCGAGATGTGGATCGAGGACAAAAGAGCCGAATGTATGATGAAGCTCCTCGAAAACCTGCTAAAAGCTTTGAAAGACAAAGACTTGCGACATTTCTTCGTGAGATCCTACAATCTCTTTGGTGTTGATTACATTGTCAAACCCGAAACTCTTGTATCTTTGGCCGAGAAGGTGGAGAAGATTATAGAAAATCCGTTAGACTTTTCCCAAGCGTTGATCCAGCAGAGTGAAGAAAAAAAGAAAATTCAAAAGGAGACATTCGAAAAAGAGAGCAAGCAAGGGGTGCCTTCAACATCAGGACATGGAAGAGCAGCTGAACCAAGGGGCAGCAATGAAAACCTAGCAAACATGGAAATAATGAAAGACGCTGTGTTGCACAACTCCCGACTGAGTGGCAACCTACTTCCCAAACATCGATACCATGACTTGCAAGACCTTTACCTCCAAGTCGGCACAGAGTTAGTGGAAAAATCTTTAAATGGAGATGAAATTCATGATCCTCTTGAAAGATCCCTGGTGAAAGATCTTAAAGAAATGATACAAAGCCATGATTTTCAGACTGAACATTTCCTTCAAATGTTGAGAAACGGCTGGTCTAATGCTTATTTCAGGATCTGCCTCAGTACCGAGCTGGAAATGAGGCGCCGAATG